ATTGCAGGCTACGATAAAAGCAAAACAATTGATAATAGAGGAGTTGGAAAGTGAGGTAACCATAAAGGGAACAGAACACGGATCGATACAAATGGAAAAGGACATGTTGCTGTCGCAGTGTGATGAGTTACAGCGAACCGCAAGCTCCAACAAAAAAGATTTTGAGAGGAGAGAAAAAGACATGAAGGAGCAAATTGATAAGCTGAAGAAGGAGGTTAAGGACGAAAAGGAGACTCAAGAAAAGAATCTAAAGGAAAACGAGCGAATACTGCAGGAGAAGATAACGTCTATCAACGACTTGGAGAGGAAAATCAAAGCTTCAGAAGATGATGCAACGAGGGAAAAGCAGGACAAACAATTGATGGAAAATGAAAAGAATGAGTTGACCTTGCGGCTTTGTGAGTTCGAAAAGGTCGCGAGAGCGAATTCCGAGAAGATCAAAAAACAAATTCAAGATCTGCAAGAAAGAAACCTGAAACTAAAGTCAGACGTTGAAGAAAAAGCCGACAAACGATTGAAAGATTTGACAAGACAGGTTCATAATCTAGAGGATGAAATCAAGAATGCTCGCGCAAGCCTTGCAGACAAAGACCAAGAGCTCCAAAGCATGAAGACCGCTCATGATATCCGTGAACAGGTCACCGGTTTGCAAGATACCATCGAAAGGAAAGAGTCCGAAATATCAACGTTGAAGGAAAAGACAACAGAACAAGCAGTCGAACAGGAATCAATGCGAAGCGAGAGGGAGAATTTACTGTCTCAAGTTGCCGACCTGCATCAAATGAGAAAGTCTAGCAAGAAGGCGCATGGTAATAGTGTCAAACTTCTCGTGGTGGAAGTAGCTCGACTATGGAATCAGCTTGACACGCAAGCACAAAGTTGCATCGAGACAAAAGCTGAGTTGTCTACTTGCCGTAATGAGCATGCATCACAGCTCACCAAACTTGCTGAATTGTCAGAACTGACGCAGTCGAGAAATGAACTCTATAACCTACAGAAGCAGCTGGAAGTGAAAGACAAAGAACTCGCTAGAACAAAAAAGCTTCTAAATCAAACCGAGGAGAGGACCGCGAATTTACAAGATGAAACGGAGAAAAGCCATTCAATCATAGAAAATCTACCTCTTTCCGTGGCATCTTTACAGTCTACGGTTGACGGTATCCAGAGGATGGTAAGCGCACAGCAGCAAAGTACCTGCAATGCGACACCAAACTGTGGTTCCTTGCAACCGGAAAAATGCGCTCATAATGATGACAGTAAAAGCTTCGCCGAGTTAAGAAACCAGATCCAAAATCTCGAGCATTTCATTGTAGAACGATGGGCGAAAAACGACATGGAAACCAAGATTAGAGAACTGCAAGATAAAATCATGAACTTGGAGAGGTCGGGAGATCTACTAAAAGCCGAAGTTGTCATCGCAGCGGCCAGAAGGGATGATGCAGAAGCAGAAGCTGCGAAATGGGTTRGCAAGCACAAACTTTTAGAAGATCGCTTGCGGAAGACACAAGTCCAGCAAGTGGTGGACGCAAAGCTCAAAGTGGAATCTGAA